GAACTTTACTGGTTGGGGCCACCGGGTTCTTTTTGTTCTACTCCTACCAAGTTGATCAATGGTTAGAGACCAGATGAACTCGGTCTCATGCTCCTCCTGGTTGGGATTGGAGATGGGACGGCGTCCATTTCTGCAAAACCGCATCGCTGCAATCGCCTTCGCCCACTGTCTTTCGGATAGGTTTTTGAACCAAAGGCCTTGACTAGGGATTGTACTCGTTCTCCTGTCTAGATTTTGGCGTCCTGGCAGTGTCAATCCACTTACAACCATGACTAGTTCCTCAGACTCCAACCACATCCTACATCGGCCGTCGCGCAACTTATCAGGGGTCGCCTTATCTGCTGCATACATCAGGGCGGAGAAGCGAAAACATGCTCCTGCTGTCGCTTCGATTATTTCTTTTTCATGCGTTTCTCTCTCTCCCTACTCCCATTACTAATGCGTCTATAATTCCTAGCTTAACTGGCAGCAACTTAAGTGCCACTGCGGTTATAGCATCTGCAGCTACCTTCTCGCACCACCCAGTGAACCTCTATCGGCAACAGTCCTTTATAAGGTCATGCTGTCCCGTTTCCCTGGCGGCGTTCAACGCTCGCACTCTAAGACAAATAGGTTAGCAGGCTGCACTCGCACGCATGTTGGACACCCTGGGTATTGAGGTGTGTTGCTTCTCCGAACCTAGGATTGGTGTTCCTCATGGGGTTGTTGAATTAGCTTCACGGTTTGTCCTCTCGCTATTGGTTAACACGCATCTGGACACTGATACTGCAGCCTCTGATCAAGCTAGGATGGGCATCGTTCTCAGATCCAAGGCTGAGTTATCTCTGGTTTATTGGATTACTTTGAACAGCCATTTTGGTATAGCGTGTTTGACGACATCCACTGGAGTTAGTTCGTGAAGTAGCGCCAGACCCTGTTTGTTTGTGGTTGTCACTTTTGTCCCCACTGATTTCAGTTCTGATGCTGCAAAGGCTCATTTCTACAATGAACTGAACAGGCTACTATGCAGTGTTTTCAGTTTAGATAACATGCTTGATGCAGGGGATATGAATGCGCAAGTAGCTCATCTGTGCTATCCAGCAGATCAGCTAGGTGGTATGTATGAACTTAAATCCGAACGGACTGACAACGGCGAGTGTCTTTTACAGCTTTTTGAAGAGCACTGAATGTATTTTTGTAGCACCGCTTTTAGACACAGTGGGCGCTGAAGTGCCACTTGGTTTCATCCTTTAGCTGGCGGTCGATGGACCCTAATATAAGTAGTCTTGGCGTGCCTCAATCTTGGATTGTCGCTCTTTCTGGAGTGCCGGGTCGACTTTGATCGTGCTTCGGTACGCTGTCGTTTTTCAATGAACTGTAGTGGGAGAGACACGCGAAGGGCCTCTTGCGACTGGCATTTGTGAAGCTGTCTCAGTTTTTCTTCAGGCAAGTCTACCAAAAATCTCTACATGTCAATCTTTCGCTCTCTCTTCTGGAGCCTCTGCCTGCGGCACTGTCACTTGTCACCGTACCAGTCACTGAATATCCGTGACGTCAGTGAACTTGTTGGGATCCTGAAAAATCTCGCGGCTGACTCTGAGCACAATGTAACCAGACGGAGTATTACTCGCAAACCAAAGATGAGCCTACGTGCTGGCAAGGAAGCCTGGTGGACCCGTGGTGCTCAAGAAATGGGGAAGGCGTGGGCAGTGGGTAATTATCGCAAGTTCTTCCAGTTGATCCAAACCATTGGTCCTAGGAAACCAAGTGTCAGCGAGACAATCAGAGACAGCGCGGTTATCCTGATTGCCAATGAAGATTTTCGTATTGCTCGTTGGGCAGAGCACTTCCGAAAGCATTTCAATTGGCCCCTTGCTCCCGGATCACTTACTACTCGGGTGGTGCAAACTGAGGGATTATCATTTAGTTTAAAGGCTCTATCGGAAGCGGAGATCTGAAACGCGATCACAGCTCTTAATCGCTTTCGCTCTTCTGGTCCGGATTCCCTTGCACCCGCACTATGGTAGTAAGGTCCTCTGCAAACCACTGACCTCCCTGGTCGAACAGGTCTGGAATGAAGATACCATCCCAGCTAATTGGAGTGAACTGATTATGACTGCAATGTACTAGAAGGACAGTCGCACTAACTGTGCTTACCATTTAGTTATTAGCTTAACTCCGATAATGACAAAATTTCTAGCCTCAATTCTCGTTCATCGCCTCACTGCGGAACGGGAATACCGGATCGGGTTTCGGTCCAGGACGGGGATGTGTAGATCACATGTTCACTTTCCGACAAGTGCTAGAGCGGCGCCACACAAACCACAGGCCGACAATAACTGTTTTTCTTGACCTCAACATTACGTTCGACCCAGTCGATCGATTCATTCTGTTCCAGAAACTGGTTCGAAAAGGTGCCCTATACACGAACACCACAGGGTCTACGGTGACCTATCAGGTAATTTTCCGACAACAAGTAGCGTTCGTCAAGATTGCCCATTTTCCACATTTTTGTTCAAATTTTTCGTGCATTCCATCATGGAATCTCACGACGCAGGCGTTGAGGTGTTGCCTGGGGTGAAGCTACTTGATTATGCGGTAGATATTGTCTTGCTGTTTAACGATGTTGGAGAGGCTCAAACAACCCTGAATAAACTCTCTGGAGTGATTCCGTCATTTGGCATGCGCTTCGCACTTTCAAAGTGCAGTGTTGTTGCAAGACCACCAGCCACTCGATGTCCCCTTGACTCTTGATATCGAGGAACTCGAGGTAGTTGATCAGTCCACTTGACAGCTGCATGCGTAACAATCGGCGCATAACCACTGAAGTCAATTTACGTATTGCAAAAGCTAGAACTGCCTTATTGAACCTGCGACATCTGTGGCGTCAGAAAATAGTTTCTCTCGGTCTTAAAGGCCGTGTTTACAAGGCGACAGTGAAGGCCATCCTACTCTATGGGAGCGACACTTGTCCCCTTCGATCTGAGACGCCTTCAAGTATTTGATCATCATTGTCTGCGAAGCGTTGCTGGCGTCGAATGACGCCAGCACGTCCTCAAGGATAATGTGTCTAAAAGAGTACTGGGCAGTGATAATCAGCCTCATTCCTTAGAACAGATAGCACTGGATAACTTGTGTTGGCTTGATAAGTGCTACGTATTCCCAGTCACTGCGTACCGAAGAAGAGTTTGTTTTGTTTTCCGGATGTAGGGTAATGCATGACCAGAGGTGGGTAAACATTAACTTGGCAGCGGGAAGTAAAATCACTGACGACCAAATTGGGTGTCGTGGGTCCATCTCGGCTTCCGGGTTGGAGTCCACGGGACTCGTCTTGGATTTGACCTGAGACGGTATAGGACGGGTCTCGAAGTCGACACCAGTGGCGCGTCTGCTGCCGTCTCCTAGTCGGGTTTCCTGTTTAACATGTGTTTGGTGCTATTATCTGCGGGCTAATGACTGATTATGACGCGAGGCAGTAAAATCCGCAAGGAAGCTGTCTCTCCGATACCGCATTGTTTGCACGATACCCGTTCGTTTGCAACCGTATGTTTTCTACACTTGGTGTAGGCGCCTTGACCCCGAATATTTGCCTAGGACATTACACTTTTACACTAGGTTCCCCTCCTCTCCCTCTTATTATTCTTCATTTCTTAGGTCACCTTGGGTGTATGCCATCAAACCATCAGTTCAATTGGCTGATGTAGTGCTGCTGATGTGCCTCAGCGTTGGTTGTAGGTTGACCACATCGCCGTAAGTCATTGTTGACGTGACAGTATTTATAGCAGATCGTCTTTTTCAACTCTGGTCGAATCTGATCATGTACTGGTACCTGCCACGGTATTTCGATCATTCGCTTGCGAATAAACAACTTCTACTGAGCACTGGTAAATTGAAAGACATCAGCCTGCATGTGGAGTGTTACGAGTGACTTCGTGTAAACCCCACTTTTCCTTCCCCTCGGTACTTTGGCCAGCATTGGTTACGCTTGAAACAGATGGTTTTGTGCCAGTTTAATCAGTTGCAATATTATTCCATATACAGCTAGGCGTTATGTTTCTACAAACGTCCTTGCAGTTGTTAAACAACAGACATGTTATCCCCGTCGATCTGGAGTACGATAAATTAGGTCGGTCGGTTTCTCAACTACTGAAAGCAAGTCTTCGACGTGACCTTGAATTTTGATGGTCTAGGTGAGCTACCGAACTGGAGGCTTCTGCTTCTTCTGGGAGCAACCATCGATTGTTTTACCTCATCCAAATCACCCGACTCAGACCATATATCACTGGTGGGACAACTTGCGAGTTAGACGATACTAAGGTGAGTAAGGTGGTCATCATTTTAGTCACGCCCAGTTACATATCCACTGTCATCATATAGTGGCTGGACTGTCTGCACAGATCCTCCGACTGAAACGGAGATTCGGGGAGGAATTCCAACTCTGAAATTCCGCAAATCTGCTGATCCTGACTGTTGCATTGACCTTAGCCAATGATAAAGGATTTGATTCACTTTTACTAACTAATTTATCTGTTTTTGCTAATCCGCTTGTCAGCTGGAAGGCGCTGCTCATCAAGGACAGATGGTTTACTCTAAGGGACATTATGATTGGTTCTTTCACGAACTCATCTGACCGGAACTTTGGACCGCGTATTATAATGACAGGAGCATTAGCACACACGAGGCAAATAACTAGCAGTGCACGACATAGACAATATATATTCGATTTCTGCACTCGAGCAATTCGTCTAATTGGTCCTCTTGCCGTCTCTGTACTTTTTAAGGACTTGTAGCCTGACTTGTCCACCTAGATCTGACATCCAAGTTCTGTTTGGCCCTCTCGGTTCAAATTAGCACTCATTCCCAGTGTTTTGAATCGTTCTATTACTATATCCCACACACTCAACTCCTTGTATTAGTCCTCTGCTTCACTCACCTATTCTTGCACTTGTGTGCAAGTGCAAGTGTGTCGTTTTTGTGTTTCCCCATGCATTCCATCTTCACTCACCATTATTTTCTCCTAGGCATCTCCCGCGTGCTGGCTACTATCCATTGGTCTGTTCTACAGCCGCTCTTGTTGGTTTCCGTCTGATCCGGGCGATGCAGTTTCCCGTCTCACTGCAATTTCTCGCTTGTCGTGCTGTCTTCCAGAGTGTGACTTCCGGTGCACTGTCCCACTCCGTCGTCTGTCAGTGTTTGCCTCCGCTGCTTAAGGTATGTGTTCCCCACGTTTTAAAGACTCAGCTTCTTTTGTCACAGCTTAACATGCCTGGTTAGTCGAAATTAACTGATCGGCTGCTCTACCACACTGACCTCCGGTCGGCTGGCATGTTTCGCGTGCGTTGTGGGCCTCCTCCTATCTATCTGCAACTTCACATGACTCCTTGTTCAATGATTCTGCCCACTCAAATCTATTTTTAACCACTATCTTTGATTCGGTATCAGCTGGTAAGTGAATAAACGAATTGATACACTTCCCGACATACAGGGTATATATTTCCTTCGCAATTCTAGAAAATAACCCATCCCTCTGGACTCACGTTGCCTCTCACAACGGCCATGGCGCTGCTCACGGAATCCAAATACTACGATTGTTTGTAGGGTACTGAGCCCAAATTCACACATCTCCCAGAACCGTGCATGTTCACGAGGTTCGTTGACTCTTTTCATCCGTACTAATGCATCGTCCCTAATTCAACGTCCATCACTGGAGTATCCATAAACTCTTGACTCTTATAACTTACTGAAGTAACTACATGTTGCTTAGATGAAATTAACTATAAATTTCTTGCGGGATGTCTGTTGCGGGCATTGTTCGCACACCAGTTCCAAATGCGGTTCATTCTTTGAATTGTTGTTCCATTTTTTACGTTCCCTACAACATTCGTTCCACATTTACAAGGTTCTATACGCATTACTGTCGTCGTGCACTTGATTCCTTGTGTCTGAAATATGTTTACTGCATTTCGAATTTCACGTTCCATCTTTTGCGTTTCTTATCCAGCAGCCTCCATCATCGACAACAGTCAAAAATGTCTCTCTTGTATCTCCCAGTCCTTTAGTCTCATATCTTTTGTTGCGGTTGATTCACCTTTTCCTCACCTGGATTCTCGGTATCGTCTCTTTTTTCTGCACACACAGAAACAAGTTATGACAGAATTACCTTGGCGTTTATTTTTCGTCCACTTGGAAACCATCGCTATCAAGGATTCTCGCGATACTGACGATCCTGTTTCGAATCCCTCTGCAATGCCCAAGCATTTGTTTGACTCGCTCCCTTCCGAGGATCCTTTTCTTTGGACCAGTTTCAATGAACCGGACTCCACTTCATCTGCGTCATTTGATCAATGCAGTGACATTTACGCTGATTGTGATGACGTTGAGGAGCTCTCGGAATGACACCTAATACCACAGCCTTAAGATGTCATTTGCAGAAACAGCGAACACAAGTGAGTTGTCCTTTCTCTCGATTTTTTACTTTGTGCTCCACCGTGTTACACGTTGACTGGTTACCTCTTCATAGGCTCATGCGGCCCACGTCACTGGTTCTGTGTTTCCCTTGCTGCTGCTTAACGTGGTGCGACGGTTTGCGTACCTAATTGACACATTGAGCTATACTGGGTGGTGCCTGTAGGCACCTTGAGAGATACTCCTGCCAGGTTGGTCAATGGTGAGAGGTCAGGTAAACTCAGTCTCCTGGCGCTCCATGTTGGGGGTTTGAAATGAGATGGCGTCCATTTCTGTAAAACTGCATCACTGCCACCTCCCGCTTTCTCGCATACAGGCTTTTGAGCCAAAGACTAGTTGGGGACCCCAATCGTCCTCCTGTCTGAGTCAGGACACTCTGACGGTATCTCGGTTCATACACAACTATGACAACCTCCCCCAAACTTTAACTACATCCTGCATCGGCCGTTGCGCAGATTATCAAGGGTCGCCTTATCTGCTGCATACATCAGGGCGGATAAGCGGAAACATGTTACTGCTGGCGCCTCCCTTCTTCCTTTTCTACCTGTTTCTCTTACTCCCATCCCGACCCCCATTACCAACCTTCCTTCTATAGTTCCTAGTTTAATTGATAGCAACAGAAGTGCCACTGGAGTAGAACCAACTGCAGCCACCTTCTCGCGACACGCACCGGACGTCTATCGGCAACAGTCCCTTATAAGGCCACGCTGTCACGTTTCCCTGGTGACGTTCAACGTTCGCACTCTAAGAAAATAGGTCAACAGGCTGCACTCGAACGTACCCTGGACACACTGGGTATTGATGTGTGTTGCGTGTCCGAAACTAAAATCAGTGGCCCTAATAGGGTTGTTGAATTAACTGCACCCGGCTACTCCTCTCGTCATTGGTTGCACGCATCCGGAAACGCCGATGCAGCACTCACGGGTTAAGCTGGTGTAGGTATCATTCTAAGCTCCAAGACTGAGCCATCGTTGGTTGGTTGGATTCCGGTGAACAGCCGTTTATGTGCAGTCCGTTTGACGACACCAGCTAACGTTGATTCACGAAGTAGTACAAAACGCTGTTTGTTTGTGCTTTCCGCTTATGCTCCCACCGACTGCAGTTCAAATGCTGTCAAGGGCACATTCTATCACGAATTGAACACGCTGCTACTAGTTCAGATATTATAATACTTGCAGGGGATATGAACGCACAAGTAGGGCGTCTGAGCTCTTCAGAAGCTCAGCTAGATGGCAGTTATGGGATTAACTCCGAACGGACTGACAACGGTGAGCGTCTGCTGCAACTGTGTACGGAGCACCAGTTGTTTCTTAGTAGCACTGCTTTTCGACACAGTGGACGCCGAAGTGCCACTTGGCGTCTTCCTGTAGCTGGCCAGCGATGGACCCAAATTGACCACATAGCTATAAGTTACAAATGACGTGATTCCATCCTGGATTGATGCTCGTATTGGATTACCTGCGTCGACTCTGATCATGGCTTGGTACGCTGTGATTTCTCCATGAACTTTACCGGGAGGCGCACTAAGCATCTCCTCCGATTGCAACTGAGAAATTGTATCAGCCCTCAATTAGGCAAGCCTATCAAGATGCGCTGCGTACCGAACTTTCGCTGTCTTATTCTGATGACACTGAGCTTCAGTGGAATAGGATCTCGGCCACCATGCACGAGGCATCTGCTTGTGGCACTATCAATCGTCACCGCACCAGTCACTGAACCTGTTGGAATCTACAAGAAACCTCCCGGCTGCCTCTTAGCACCATGTAACCAGACGGGCTATTAGGCGCGAACTAAAGCGAAGCCTACGTGCTGACAAGGGAACCTGATGGACCAGTTGGGCTCAAGAAATGGTGGAGGCAGGAGCAGTAGGCAATTACCGCAAGCTCTTCCAGCTGATCCGCACCACTGGTTCCAGAAATCCAGGCGTCAATGAGACAATCACAGACAGCGCGGATGCACTGATTCACAATAAGGAGCGCCGTATGGCTCGTTAGGCGGAACACTTTCAAGATCAGTTCAGCTGGTCCCCTGCTCCCGGACCTCTTCCTACTCAGGTGATGCAGGACGAGCCATGGACGGTTAGTTTAGAGCCTCTGTCGGAGACTGATGTCCGAAACGCGATCACAGTCCTCAATCGTTTTCGTGCCGCTGGCCCGGAATACCTCTCACCTGCACTATTTAAGGATGGAGGTGAGGTCTTCTGCGAAGCACTGGCCTGCCTATTCCAACGGATTTGGATGGAAGAGAGTGTTCCAGCTAATTGGAGCGAACCGATTATAGTGGCAATATACAAGAAGGGCAGTCACACAGACTGTTCTAACCACAGGGGTATTAGCCTAACGCCAGTTGTGACAAACTTACTGACCTCGATTATCGTTTGTCGCCTCACTGCAGAACGGGAATTTTGGATTAAGGAAGAGCTGGCAGATTTCCGCCCAGGATGTGGCTGTATAGACCATATATTCACTTTGCGACAGGTGCTATAACAGTGCCATGCATACCGCAGACCGACAATAGCTGTGTTCCTCGATTTCAAAAGTGTGTTCGATTCTGTTCGAAATACTTGCGCGGAAAGGTGTTCCCACGAAATATGTGAACATCCTTCGTGTTCTATACTCGAACACTACAGTCCGCGTCAGGGTCTACGGTGGCCTATCGGATAGCTTTCTGACCACATGTGGCGTTCGTCAGGGTTTTCGGATTTCCCCATTTTTGTTCAATTTCGTCGTGGATTCTATCATGGAGTGTTTCCTTGCGGAATCTCACGATGTAGGCGTTGAAGCGCTGGCTGGTGAAAGGTTAGTTGATCTTTATTATGCGGAGGATACCGTCTTGTTTTTCGACGATTTTGCGGCGGCACAACCAACCCTGAATAGCCTGTCCAGAGTGGTCCCATTATTTGGTATGCCATTTGCACCTTCAAAGTGCAAAGTGTTGCTGCAGGACCACCTTGCACTTGATGACCCCTTGACGCTTGCTAACGAGGAACTCGAGGTGGTTGATCAATTCACTCATCTTGGCAGCTGCATCAGCAATGATGGGCGCATAGAAACTGACGTCTGCTCACGCATTGCAAAGGCCAGAACTGCCTTCTTGAATCTGCGTCATCTTTGGCGATAGAAGGGAGTTTTCCTCCGTCTGAAAGGCCGGGTATACAAGTGCACAGTGAGGGCCGTTCTGCTCTATGGTAGTGAGACTTGGCCCCTTCGGTCTGAAGACCTGAGGCGCCTTCAAGTCTTTGATCATCGTTGTCTGCGAAGCATTGATGGTATCGGATGGCACCAGCGTGTCCGCAACGATGATGTGCGTAAGCGAGTACTAGGTGGTGATAATCATGCTAGCTCCCTAGGACAACAGATAGCACTGTATAAGTTGAGTTTGCTCGATCATGTGTTACGTATGCCTGGTCACCGCTTACCTAGGATGGCCTTGTTTAATCTGCCAGGCGTAGGATGGTGCAAGGCTCGAGGTGGACAAAAGTTGACTTGGCAGCGTCAAATGAAGTGACTGACGACCAAAGTGGGTGCCATTGGTCCGTGTCGCCTTCCTGGCTGGAGTCCACGTGACTCGCCTTGTTCTTGGTTCGAGACTTCACAGGATATGGCTCGCAACAGACACCAGTGGCGCGTCTGCTGTCGTCTCCTAATCGGATCGCCTGTTTGGTGTTTCGTGCGGGGTAATGGCTGATTATGACGTGTGGCAGTAAAAGCCGCAAGGAAGCTGTCTCGCCAATGCCGCATTATCTTCGCACGATAACCAGCTGTTTGTGATGTAAGTTGTTGACAAGGTATAGACGCCTTGACCCTGAATGTTTGCTTAGGGCATTTAGGTTTTCCGGTCAATCTCCTTCTCTCCCTCTTCTTATTCTTCATTTCGTAGGTCATCATGTTTGTATGGCAGCGAATCATCAGTTCAAATGGCTGATGTACTGCTGTTGTTGATTGATTGTTTTGATTTTGCTGCTCTACGGGGAGCCACCCTATTCGGTACACAAATGGCTGCAGTCATATGGGCCAGTCTTATCTGGGCGTGTTTACGAGTGCTCGCATTGGCAATCAGTTGATGTGACAATTAATGACTTACCATGACAAAATATGTTGTTTAACAGTGTTTAATATCTTTAATACCTCCGTTCCTTGCCCAAAAGCTATTAAATTTTAAGGAAATTCTAATTTTATTAAGCGCAACTAAACTTTGGAGCAACCAAAGGGACCGATTTGCATGGCCCCGGTCATCCCAGTTGAACACACATGGATCCAAAATGTCGGAAGTGGTGCTTCCGTGCCTTCGCATGGCGGAAGAATCATTCGAGATGTGTCGCAGGATGGTACCAAGAAGAAGATGATCCCGACATATCGTGTTTTTAAGCTCTACCAAGATCGACCTTGCAAGACCCTATTGTTGCAAAGCGTTTACTTTCTTCCAACTACCAACTCGATGGATCCTTTTAATGCCAGCAATACGTAGTATATCATGAACACGTCTCCCATTCTAATCACGCATAGTCTTAGCCTCTTGTGTAACCAGCTCTTCCCGGTTGTAAATATGCACATTCCTCTGCGCCTTCCCACCACAATTTCAGTATTACATGCATACTGGGGCTAATCATACGACAGTCTTTGTGTATGTTCCACTGATTGCACCAGTTGTTTTTCAAGCTAGTGTGACACAACGAATAGACAAGTCAAGTCCAGGGTGTGCTTCATGAACCCATGTAGAGTGACTATACATGTCTTATGAGTTGACACCGGCGATAACGTTAGTGCTTAACAAATCCCGTCATTGGTGAGGGTGTGAGTAATAGCAACAGTTTAACGAACAGACATAGAGACAGTGAAACACATACCACGATGATCTGTTGATATACTACCCCGTCCGCGCAATAGGAGGGCCAGCCGTCTTAGTTGGGCGTGTTTGCAGCTACTCGCAGAGAAAAAAACTGCATGTACAAATAAATGGCTTGCCATGACCATATATGTCG